TAACATTAGTCAATGGAATTCTTATAATCTACTAATATAGCTCTGTCACAAATTTAAGATTTTAAATTCCCTTTGATTGTTTTCCACAAGACTTAAAAATGCTTCTCATTGTGCTGGAAACACCTGTCTAATCTGTATACATCCAGTCTTCTGGATAGAGGAAAGAGTGTTAATGCTTTTAACCGGAATCATTGTTGGGTCCCCTATGACTCAAAGGCGTGAGTCTATTGCCTTTTCTGCAATATGGGTTTCAGTACAGATTACAAACAGCGGGAGTGCTAATGTGTCTAAACTTAGCTCTTTCTGTGAACTCAAAACATTCTTGGAAGTTGCAGGAAGACAACTTGGGTCTACCTAGAACAGTTCATCAAATGGATTCCAGATAAGTACTGTCAATCAACAGTCTAAGTTTCCCACCTACTGCCTGTTCCTGAGGGTGGGATCTCCCCACCTTTTCCTGTTCTTGGGACTCCCCTCTCTCAATTACCAGGACTTAAGTTTCCCCCTAAACTTCTTAACATTATCTTCTGCTCTGCCAGCATCATGCCAGGTCCCCTCAAAATCTGCATCCCGGACAGCCTGAAAATGGCTACCTCCAAATGCTTCCAACCTCACAGACTACTTCAAGTATGCCTGCACCTTCCTAGCACTGGAGGTGGTCCCACAGAGTGTGGACAATGAGCAAAACAGCCAGCTGTCCCAGGTCTTGGCCAGCATCCTAGCTTTCTCAGGTTCCCTCAAAATGCCCGTGTCCCCAGACAACAAGAAAGAGTCTAGAGAACATGGCACCCCATTTCCAACTCACCTTTTTTCTCACCTTGTTTTAAAATAACAAACAAAAGAAAAGAACCTTAGTTTCCAACTCAGCAGCAGCTTGCCTTTGCCACCAAAGCAGTTACGTCACCTGTCGCCAGGTGTCTTTCCATCAGCAGCTTTGCAATATGTGTACCTCTTAAAAGTGTCCCCCAGGCACAGCCTGCTCTCTTGCCTCTTCTCTTCCTCTTGTTTCTTCCCCGTCTGTCTGTCTGTCTGCCTGCCTGCCTGCCTCTCTCATATCCCCACTCTGACATGGCCTTTCTTTCACTCTCCCCCTCCCCCAACAAACCTCTTGCACTAACTCTGTTGCTCATGGAGTGTTTGCTTAGAGGATTACCTTGGCAGGGCTCACCAAAAGGTACCCAGCTCACCTTTATTTTTCATCCTTACAAGTGGACATTTACAAGTAAAGCACATCCATCAGTGGAGCCTGTGTTTTCACATTGTCCTCACGGAGTTTTTTATGGGACTAAATAGAAGACGTCATGGGACATCTTCTAGATAGCCACTGCAGTCCACGCCAGCAACTGAAGGAACCATCAGCAACCAGAAGGTACAAAGCCAGTTCAAAGCGGAGGCAATAAGCAAGGCTACAACTTAAAAATGATTTTTCTGCTTAGCTTATTTTTAAGAAGAAGGACATTAGGGAGCCAGCTTGGAGTGGAAGTGCTTACTGTGCAAGCATGAGGACCTGAATTCAGATCCCCAGGACCTGCAGAAAATGATGGGTGTGGTGGGTACATTACCTGTAGCCCCAGTGCCGGGGTAGGGGCAGAAAGAGGCAAATCTCAGGGGCTCATTGGTCAGACAGTCTAGCTAAAATATCAAACTCCACATTCAGTGAGGTGGATCTCAAAAAAAAAAAATGAGGTTGAGAGCTTGGAGAGTTGGCTCAATGGTTAAGAACACAGGCTGCTCTTTCTGAAGACCCAGGTTCAGTTCCCAAAATGAGGTTGAGAGCTTGGAGAGTTGGCTCAATGGTTAAGAACACAGGCTGCTCTTTCAGAAGACCCAGGTTCAGTTCCCAGCACCCACATCAGGTGGGTCACAACTATCTCTAACTTCAGTTACAGGGGATCAGGTGCCCTTTTCTGACCTTTAAGGGCATCAGGCTTTGAGTGGTGCACAGATAATACATATAGGCAAAACATTCATACACATAAAATAAAAATAAATAAAAAGGTAGAAAGCAATCAAGAAAGACACCTGCTGTTAACTTCTGGCCTACACATGAGCGTGAATAGGAAAGATAACCTGTACACACACACACACACACACACACACACACACACACAAAGACCAAGCACATTTAAAACAGATAGTGTTATAGAACAGATGAGCACCTTCCCATTTCGTAGGGTGATTATTCTTACAGTTATCGGCATGAATTTATTTTCATGTCCTTTGCTCGATAATTTAACCCTAAAGCTGATATGTCCTCTACCCTGAAAAGCTACTTGGTAAGCTCCACAAGGTCCAGCCTGTACCCCATGTGTTCACTGGAACCCCCCTGTCTCTTCCTGCACAACTGACCGATACTGCAGTGATGCCAGTGACTGGATGGAAAGGGATCGTCTCAATGGAGCAGCTGTTCCTTCCAGAGTCTGGAGGTTTGATCAGGTGGTCACCTGAACTCCTCTCCCTTCAACATGGATTTTTAAACTCTTGCTCCTTTTAGTCTGTTATTTTCTGGCTGTATAGCACCAAGACAGCTTGAATATTGTCCACCCATGACTTCAAAGGGACAGTTTTCCCAGACAGCACCCTCACCTCCCCCAGTGGAGGTCTGGTTCTCCCTTGCGTCCTGCCCAAAGGCAGGCAGAGGACCTCTGTCTGACCTTACATGACTTCTAGCATTCTCTCCTGACCCCTGCTCCAAGACCAATCCCCTCTCCAAATCACTGATGAAAAGCATCTTTGATGCAGAAAATGGGACAACGACAATGCAGTTCTAGGAGACAGGAACTCAAGACATCCCTATACACACATGTGAATGATAACAGTTACCTTAAGATTAGAAAGCTCTCTGTAAGGCAAAGGACATGGTCAGCAAGACAAAACGACAGCCTACAGAATGCGAAAAAGATCTTCACCAATCGCACCTCAGACAGAGGTCTGATCTCCAAAATATACAAAGAACTCAAGAAATTGGTCATCAAAAAAACAAATAATCCAATAAAAAAATGGAGTACAGACCTAAACAGAGAACTCTCAACAGAGAAATCTAAAATGGCTGAAAGGCTCTTAAGAAAATGTTCAATATCATTAGTCATCAGAGAAATGCAAATCAAAACAACTCTGAGAGTCCATCTTACACCAAGAATGGCCAAGATCAAAAGCACTGATGACAACTTATGCTGGAGAGGTTGTGGGGTAAAGGGAACACTTCTGCATTGCTGGTAGGAATGCAAACCGGTACAACCACTCTGGATATCAGTATGGCGATTTCTCAGAAAATTAGGAAACAACCTTCCTCAAGATCCAGCAATACCACTTTTGGGTATATAGCCAAAGGATGCTCAATTGTACCACAAGGACATGTGCTCAACTATGTTTGTCATAGCCAGAACCTGGAAACAACCTAAATGCCCCTCAACCAAAGAATGGATAAGGAAAATGTGGTATATTTACACAATGGAGTACTATACAGCAAAAAAACAAAAGAAAACAAAAATAACATCTTGAAATTTGCAGGCAAATGGATGGAGCTAAGAAACATCATTTTGAGTGAGGTAACCCAGACCTAGAAAGATAATTATCCTATGTACTCACTCATAAATGTTTTTTAAACATAAACCAAAGAAAACCAGCCTACAAATCACAATCCCAGAGAACCTAGACAAAATGAGGACTGTAAGAGAAGCATACATGGATCTAATCTACATGGAAAGTAGAAAAAGACAAGATCTCCTGAGTAAATTGGGAGCATGGGGGGGACCTTGGGAGAGGGTTTAAGGGGAGGGGAGAGGCAAGGAGGGGAGCAGAGAAAAATGTAGAGCTCGACAAAAATCTATCTATGTATATCTATCTATCTATCTGTCTGTCTGTCTGTCTGTCTATCTATCTTCTATCTACACACACACACACACACACACACACACACACACACAGCTTTAATTAGAAAGCTCAGTAAAGCTGAAAAAGAAAAACCCCAGACTCACATGCTTTCTGCATCTGGAAGAAGTGGGGATCTCTATAATGGAACAATGTATCAACTATGGTTGTCAATACAATCTCTTAGCTCAATTATAGGCAGTATTTTTTTAATGACAGCCAAGCATCAATCAATATGGCCTATGGACATCAACCCTAATGACAAAAAAAATATCATTTATGCAACCTAAGCTCGGGGAATAAAGCCAGGTCTACTAGTCAGCTTTATCACAGACTTCTATAGAGACTCCATGGATATTAAAACTGAAATCATAGCGAGCTATTTTGAACCCATTGGCTCATGAAGACGGCAACCTGTGGTTTCCCATTTGTCTGGCTGCCTAAAAAGCAAACAGAAACGTAGCTGCAGGTGACCTAGCTTTGCCTACTGATTCCCTGGAGTCTTTATCCCAGTTACTTACAAATGGGGCTTAGCTGGGATTTTCCTCATTTGTTCCTTCAAGAAGGCTCCTGGGGTCTCTAATTCTCAGCTCCCTGTGCCTAGAATGGTCTGATTTTTACATATGCATATCAAGGATTCAAAATAGCATATAAATAAAAGCTTAACACCTCAAGATGAGTTTTAACATCAGTGCCATCACTTCCCGGTGGTATCTGCTAGACATGTTATTAACTCCCCGAAGCATCAGTGTCCCCTGCACAGGATGGGGGTGAGTATCTGTGCCAACCTTCTAGAATTTGGATGATTACATCCGTGACTCAGATAGCTTATACAGGTGCTCAACAAACCTTAGCTGCAAGCATTATCATCACAGGGTATATCCGGGTCTGCCCTTGAGAGTAAGCCGTAATTTAACTCTATTGGGGCTGCGCTTCTGCTTACCAACAATCAGGATCCGGCTGTGTTAAACTAGCAGGCCTGGGGATATAGCTCCTCTGGTATCTCTTGCCTAGCATGGGTTCAATCCCCAGGGCTACATAAGTCAGCCATGGTGGGTGACACCCTCAGCTACCTAGAGGGTTCAAATGAGTCTGAGCTAGGAGGGTAACTGGGAAATAGCCCTACTTACCGGTTTTAGGTAGGCGACATTGCTATGTCGGATGTCATTCAAGAGCTGGTCTCTGGGAGTGATTTCCACCAGCGGGGGTGGCCTATTTCTCGGCACCGGCTTGAGCGTTTTGATGACATCTTTGAGGTTGGTTTTCTCCTGTGCTTCTCCTGCTTCCGGCGGCATTCGAGATTTGCGCTGAATTCTCTTCAGCTTCACCACCTTAAAGGAGTCAGGGTCGGTCTTGCCCTGCGAAGGTTGGGGTGGGTTCTTCATCATTTCGTTTCTTCCACCAAAGGCGACTTCCTGAGCAGTGAGAGGTCGTCCGGATGAAGGCTGGAAGAACTCCTGCATTCTGGGATCGGGCATGGGTCCCCCCAACCTCTCCCACATCCCAGGGGGCAGCCCCAACCCATTCTCCAGCATAGCTATCAGCTTTCTCTGCTCTCTAAGTTGCTGCTGTTGCTGCTCCTCTTGTCTTTTCTGCCTCCGTTTATCCTGGTTCCTGGTAAGCAGATTTGTTACCACCATCCTGGGACCCGGAAGCTCGAAATGGTAGCCCATCTTCAGCAGGGTGTTGTTGGCCTTCAAAAGCCTTGAGATTTCCATTTCGGCGTGGTGGCCCAGCATGTGCCTCTGGTTGTGAAAACGAAGTTCGGTTAGAGTCTCATTAAACTGGAGGCACCTCATGATGGCCACGATGCCCTTCCCTGTGATGAAGTTGGACTCTATATTAAGCGTGGTGATGCTCCTGTTTTCACGCAGCATGTTGGCCAAGGCGAATGCTACACTCTCGTCTGCACCAACGTTGGCCAAACTAAAGCTTTTGATGTGTTTATTCTTCTTCATTGCATTGACAAAGTCCAGTAACATTTCCTTAGGGATATTCTCGATGTTGTTCAGGTTGAGCTCCTTCATGTCAGGGTCGTTCTGTCTTACTCGTCTCAAGCTTCCGTCCAGGTCTGTCTGGTTCCCTGAAGGTCTTGCACTTACCTTCAGAAAACTGGTGTCTAGAGCTAATTTCTTTGGGTCTAATTTGGCTATTTTCTTCTCGGTTTTTTCTTTGGTCTCTGCTCTGTCTTTTTGCTCTTCCAGTGTTTTCGTAGCCAGCTGCTGGCAGGTGCTGGGACTGTTTTGGATTTGTTCCTGTGCTTCATTTTTTTCTTTTTTGACTTTTTCATCTTCATCTTCATCCTCTTCATCTTCCTCATCATCCTCCTCATCTTCCTCACCATCCTCTTCATCTTCTTCACCATCTTCTGTTTCTTGTATATTGTTGCTCCCGTTGGAGCCCCTTTTATTTGCAACTATTTCACTGTTGAGCTTTTCTTTTAAAAATTGGGGCATAGTTTTAATGCCTCTTACTTCACGCTGGTTTTGAGTGCTTTCCTAAAAGATATGTATATGACAGTTAGAATACATAGGGCTCAGCAGTTAAGAGTATTTGCTGCTCTTCCAGAGGACCCAAGTTTGCTCCCCTAAACTTATCTGTGTCTGGTTACTTACAGCTGCTTGTAACTTCAGCTCTTGAGATTTTACGCCCTCTTCTGGTCTCGTCAGGCACTGTATGCAAAAACACTGACACTAATTTCACACAAACATGCTCCTCAAAAGTGTGGGTGGACACAGACAATTAAAAATGAAAACAAATCTTCAAAACACATTTTTAGCCAGGCTGTGGTAGTACATGTCTTTTATGCCAGCATTTGGGAGGCAGAGGCAGGAGGGTTTCTGTGTGTTTGAGACTTGCCTGGTCTACAGAGCTAATTCCAGAGCAGCCAAGGTTACACAAAGAGACCCTATCAGAAATCCTGTCTCAAAACAAAACAAAATAAGAACATTTCTAGGGCTGGGGAGATGATTCGGTGGATAACATACTTGCTACACAAACCTGACTATCTAAGGACCTGAGTTCAAATCCCCAGCATCCACATAAAGTAAGATGAAAGACGGGAGATAAGAGACATGAGAATCTCCGGAGGCACATGGGCCAGCTGGTCTGGCGTAGGCAGTGGTAAGTAGAGACCCTGGACTTAAACAAGGTGAATGCTGAGGACTGGCACCTGAGGTTGTTTCCCCACCCCCGCACACATATATACATAAAAGATTTTGTAAAAACTTAAATGGTATGGTAGCACACACTTTTAATCTCAACACTCAGAAGGCAGAGGCAGTCAGATCTCTGGGTTCTGGGCCAGCCTGGTCCAGATAGTGAGTTCCTGACTAGCCAAGCCTACATAGAGAGACCTTATCTCAAAAACAAACCAAACAAAAACTTAAATGAAAAACATTGTAAATGAAAATCTCAAGTTAACAAACCTTGTGTATAATACTATTCCATTTATATATACACAAAATGTATATATGCTTATGAAAAAAATTTCTGGAATTATTACCAAATTCCTGTTTTTTGTTTGCTTGTTTTTTTTTTCTGAGTCAGAAAGGTGACACTTGGTACAACTGAAGAAGAAGGGTCTGTTGGTTTCCCAGTGTTAGTGCTATATGGTCTTATGTTTTAAGTTTGCCTTGTCTTTCTGATACAGAAGACCCTCTAATAAGCAAATACAACTAAATAGGGATGGACTTTTGTAGACACACAGGTGGGGCTGTGCTTATCTCCTTCCAGACATACTCGTCTCTGAGGTTCTTTGGGAATTGATTCTTGGAACACCACAATTTATGGGTACACATGCACACACGTGTGTGTGTGTGTGTGCGCGTGTGCATGTGTTATGAGAAATATACGTACAAATATAGGTATAGACAAACATACACATATATATCCTATACACCCCTCTTCCCATGCAAGCAGTATTTTACATTGTCTCTAGACCACCTAATACCTCCTACGCCAATAATGTAAACAGGGATACTGTATTGTTGAAAAAAATGAAAAGAAAAAAAAATCTATATATAAATATCCAGTCCACATGGCAAAACAAAACAGCAAACAAACAAAAAACTTTTTTTTAGTGTTTTCAGTTCACAATTATTTGAATTCAAGGATACAGTCCCTGAGGATACACAAAGCCAAGTGCATTAATAAGACCTAGTTAATTTTGTTTTCAGAGTCTTTATTTTTAAAATATGGTGTTAAATCATATTTGGGAACTTGATGATACAAATTGTAAAGTCTGTGTGTCAACGTGTTTATGTGTTGTTGAGCGGGAGGGTTCGCAGTCAGCAGTGCTGTGTTCAGAAGTAATTTCCCTATACCCTACAGTTAAGTAGCTTTCCTAAAGTATCCACTGCTTTCGTCGACTCGCACTTTGCATTTCCTGAGATTATGCCGGGAAAGGGGAGTAGTCTGATCAGCTAGAGTGTGTTTTTAAAACCTTGGTTTGGATCCTGGCTCTGAGGAAAACACCATCATTTTCTAGTCTCGCTAGTCTCTGAAGCAAACCACCTTGAAGGAAGAGCCAGTCTTAAAACGGAACAGGGTTAGGGCCAGATTTACAGCTCTTTGCTGTGTCTGGGAGGGGAAGCGGTAGTCTTTCAGGTCAGTGTTTACTAGATTTTCGTGCATCGGTGATTACACTTTGGATCCACCTGTGTTGTTTTGCCAAGTGTAACTCTAAAAGCTTGGAGAAGTCTGGCACTCAGTAGTCTGAGCAAGAACTTAATGATGATGATGCATTGCAAGAGCTGACTTAACTTCCTCCTCAAACCTGCACCATCACATTCCCCCTCTGTCCCAGCAGGGGGAGCCCAATCACCAAGCTGTTTAATGTACACCAGGGAAGAAACAAAGACCCTGGTCCCGCCGCGCTCCTAAAATGGGTATTCAGGAGCGATTGTCCTGGAACCCACGGACCTGCTGTCTCGAAAAACCAAAAAAAAAAAAAAAAAAGAAGAAGTCTGCAAATGACACGGTAAGCTCTAGCCTGACCAAGCCAGATATTTACGTCCTGGAGTTCAGATTGTGTTTATGTCCGCTACTCCCTTCCATCACACCTGCGTGACAACAGGGTGATAAGATTCACCTGTATCTAGCAGGCGGGGCTGAAGAAACTGTACTTGGGAAATTTGTCTTCTTTTTTTCTCAGTCATTTTTAAGTGCAACGTTAAAATTTGTGCTTCAGAGCTGTCATGATGGTTCAGCAGGTAAAGGCACCCGCCACAACTAATAACAAAATGTAATTAACAACATTAATTGTGCTTTACATGTAATTAGTTTGTAGAGATCATGTCTCAAGAAAGAACTCTCTTGAAAACTGCTGTTAGCCATCTATTTCCAGGTGTCATGTTTGATGCCCAGTGCACAGAGTGCCCACATTCTCAGTTGTGGGTTTGGTTTAGTGTACATGGCCAGATTTCCTCAGAACTGGGGAGTCTTTGACATTATATGTAAAATATTGTATGTGAAGAAGTAGGATGGAGATGGGAGGGAAGGGGGACAGAAGTTTTGATGAGATTCTCAAAGGGAGAAGCCAAAAAGTCAGAACAGCTTCTTCTGAGTTGTGAGTTAAAGCATTATGTATCATGGCCACAGCCCACGGACTCCACATAGAGATCCTATTGTCACTGTTGGAAGAGACACTGACGTGAAGCCATCACCTTTCCCCCTTGCAATTATACCATTGTTCAGAAAGTTACAGCCGGGATAGGATTAATATTATGATTTAATTTAGATGTGGCCAAATCCAAAACAACCACATACTGTGCTCTTGAGAAATCACAATTGCAAAACAGACCCTGCCAGCCCAGACCCAGCAGCCCTTTGTGTCCCACATAGATCCCTGGTTACCTCAGACTGCACAAAACTGACAGGAACGCGTTCATCTTCCACCATGCGTCTAGATGCCTTTTGCAGATACATGTAATCGACGAGAGACTTATGGTCAAAGTTTCCTGTAGGCGCTTTGTTGGTCTGATCTTTTTGGATCATCCCCACAGGAAGGTGGGGGTCAGGGGCCATGACTTCCATCTCCGACTGCAGCTCCTTCAGCTCTTCGGGGGACAGGTTGGCCAAGAGCTCATCCTCGTTAAGCTCCTCACTGAGGGCGTCTTCTTGGTCTGAATTTCTGCTGTGCTCCGACATCCTTTACTTTCGCTATTTGTTTCTAGATCACCAGAAAAGAAGAAATCATCTAAGATGATTAAAAAAAAAATAATCAGTACGTGTCAGTATCTTCCAGTCAACCAATAACCCAGGTCAGCCCACCCTTGAGGTCGGTTCTCCCTCAATGGTGTTTGTTGGGCTGTTGGGAGTAACTACGGCTTAGCTCATGTGGGATCTATATTAAGCAAGGTTTTCTGGGCAGAGTCAAGTTGTGGAGCTACTACACGACTCCCTTTTCGGCAACTTGAGTCAGCCGTACAAATCCACCTGACATTTCCGAACAGCTGCCGGACGGGAGGAGCCAGTCCACAGAATCTGTGCAGGGGGAAACCGCATTCTTTTCTAATGCCCTCCCCATGGCAGGGTCCAACTCCGTGCAGCCCACACCTACATGCTCTCGGGCTTCAGGGGGAGCCTGCTGCTGTTTATCTAATCAGATCACAACACATCAGAATGGAAATCCAGCCAGCAAATGCAGTTTCTCCTGGTATAAAAAAAGGTCCCTTGAAGGTGGAAGGTGAGCTCCAGAGCTTCACCTCTTCTCCTCAGTAGGCTCTGAAAGCTGCAGCCCTGAAGAAAAGAAGAGCTCAGTTCTTGCTCTGGTATTCACCCCTGTGTAAGCGAAACTGTGCGAGCTGCCCTTATCTGCATCTAGATCCTGTGACCTGACAGATGGGGATAACAGGCCCCTGAATTTCCATGTAAGGCAGGGGCTGAGCATTTTAAGCCATTTATGTCCTTGGTAAGCATCCATCAAAGCTAAATAAATTAAGATGAATCTGCAGAGAATATTTTTTAATCAGACCATTAAAGTACTGGGGGGGAGGAACTGTGAAAATATTTTTTTTGTAAATGAGAGCAATAGTTTTTTTTTTCAAATTACAAATATACGTTTATGTTACAGAGCTAGAGAGAAAATGAATTTTTCACCTGATTTCCTTGTTGAGAGCAACTGCAGCGAATATTCTGGCTTAGTTCAGTCATTTCTTTAGAAATAGGGACTCCATGCTACTGTATCACCTTTATGGTATTTTTGGCAGTTTGGACATGAAAGACAGGGATTTGGCCATGGAAGTCAGCAATCTTCCCTGGCTGTATCCTAGCCCTGTGTCCTTTGGTTTATTGTTTGTTTCTGATCTAAAGTAGCTTTAGAACTTACTACGTGGGATGGCTGTCCTTGAACTTGCAGCTGTCTCCTGGCCTCCAGCACCCAAGTGTCCTGATTACAGGCATTCATCACCCCCAGTCTGCTCTCTGTGTTTTCTAGTTGATAAAATCAGATTACTTTTGAGGTGGTTATATATTCTAGAACCACATAATTTTTAAGATCTCCCTGTCAGGAACTACAGTTGACAAATTTCATAGTTCGTGTAACCCACCCTTAATTGTTACATATATAAACTCTTTTCGTTTCTCTTTTTTCCCTTTGAGACAGGGTTTCTCTGTAGCTTTGGAGCCTGTCCTAGAACTAGCTCTTGTAGACCAGGCTGGCCTCGAACTCACAGAGATCCGCCTGCCTCTGCCTCCTGAGTGCTGGGATTACAGGCGTGCGCCACCACCGCCTGGCATGTTTTCATTTCTTACAAGTACAAACAGGTCTTCAACAAACATCTTACTAGCTCCATATTTGTATATGTCCAAGTTTATTTGCTTAGGGTAATTGGATAAATTCTAAGAAATCAAACCGCAGGATCAAACAATATGGAGAAGCTAAATAATTTTCATGTGAATGCCTAAGTGATCCCCTTAGTGTTTTTGCAATATTTTTATGGCATGGGTAAATTATATACATATGTTACTATTTCTCATATGTGTGTGTACATACATACATACATACATACATGTGTGTTTATGTATACAATACACATATTCCTCCATGCTCCAGAGTTCTACATCCAGAGTTAACAAATCAATAAACAAAGCATTTAAAAATAATTGCCTCTGAACATGTATGTGCTTTTCCCCCGAGTAATTATTGTCAAACAGCACAATCTGTCATATTTCAGGGACAGCCACAGAAACAGTTAATAAAAAACAAAACAAGGTTTTAAAAAAACAGAACATTTAAAAAACTCTTCCACGAGAGAAATCGTTATATTAACAGCCATGAACAAAAGAGGCTTTAAAAATTTTGACAGTTGTACAGAAAGCAGCCAAGAGCCTGTATAGGACTGGCTTTGAAATGTAAATAAGAAATCCTCCCTAGAAAAATGATCTGAATTCTTCCAGATTCTCATTGATGAATGCCACTTGTTCCTACATGTCCAAACGCCTCCGATGATCAAGCTGATTGAGGATTGCTGCAAGGAGCCCTGATTTCTCTGACATCATCTTCCAGGGGCAGGAAGTGGGTAAATCTCTGCCAGCTGCTTCCCCGGGCTGCTAGGAGACGGTTTTGTGGGTCTAATTAGCCTTCTTTGACCCTCGGCCGTGTTCGCTCTTCATGATGTCTTTACTGTGGCCACCTCTGCAGCTTCCCACATCAGCACGAGGGCCGAAGCAAGTAACTACCTGTAGGGATGTCACCTGCGTGACCCAACAGATCAACTGACTCTGGATCAGGTCTAGTGGAAGGAATGGAACCAGCTCCCTCCTAGAAGCTCCTGAATCTGCATTCTGAAAGTTGGGTCTTAGGATCCATGCCTTTTTGAACATTCTCTGGTGATTCTAACGTGTAAATCCAGAACATTCCAAGATTTTACCTGCCTCCAAGACTTTGCACATGCGGTGCCCACTGCTTTTCTCTCAGACTTTAATACTAACCAGAAATGTCGGACACTACCCTGGGCGTGACAGGCCAGGCTCGAATGTCAAGGTGTGTGCTGAGGGCCTGCTTTGCGCCCTGTACGAAGTTAGGTACCTAGGAATGTGGGCGTGATCAAGACAGAGAAAGTCATGTTCCGGTAACCATCATTTCTGGTTTCAGCAAATGCTAAGGAAGATGGATGCCGTACATTAGAGAACAGCGCTGGAGAATGACTCCGCCCAGGAGGGAAGTCCGAGAGGCGAGCACGAGCGCGCAGACCCGTGAGAGCAGCGGGAATGGTATGCGCACCGTTTTTCTGGCAAGTAAAATCTTGGAATGTTCCAGGTCCTAGAATCTAGAAAGTTACCACAGCCTCACATGACTGACAATTTAGGTACGGAGAATTTGGGGGCAGGGAGGAAGACAGGGCCAGGCAAGATCGTTGACTGACAGATTCCCCATCACATGAGTATGTGACTGTGTGTGTGTGGCCGGGTGGGGGGAGGCTTGTAGCTTGGAAGAGTCCCCTGTTACTCTCCTGCTCAAGCTCCCATAGTGACTTCTGTAGTCCCAGGATCTTTCACGATCTGGACCCTGCTGCTTTATTCCTGTGTGATATCAATTAATCCCGGCAACACACTATCTGATCCAATGCCAGCCAACTTGAGAATTCTAGGATTGGCAGAGCCCTTTGCTGTGTCATAGTTTGGAGCTCCTGCCCCACCCCTCCACCCCCAGGCCTTCTGGGTGGAGCAACCTCTATTTATTTATTTATTTATTTATTTATTTATGTCTTCATCTTTTATTGACGTCATCTCTTTCCCAAATGCATTTCTCTCACACCCTTGTCTAGAACTGGGCACCTGCCCCACAGAGCTGTCTTTGCCCGTCACTGGTCCATCCTGTCCCTAATTGGCAGCCCTATTGTCTACCTACCCACAGGATAGGAATGAAAGGAGGCCAACACATTGTGAATCTTTCTGTTGCTGGTTGCTTGTACTCTTTACTCTTTGGGAGGGACCTGCCATCCACTTCCCAGAATAATACACGGAGGCTTATTCTTTCTTAATGTCTAGCCTTAGCTTGACTAATTTCTAGTCAGCTTTTCTTAACAATTATCCTGTCTTCCTTTTGCCTCTGGGTTTTTCTATTTCTCTGTTCTATATACCTTTCTTTACTTCTTACTCCATGATGTGCTGTGTAGCTGAGTGGCTGACCCCTGGTATCCTCCTCTCTTTCTTTTCTCACTCTGTCAATCTTCTCTTCCCAAATTCTCTTCCTATCTATTTTCTCTGTCTGCCAGTTCCTCCTGCCTAGTTATTGGCCATTCAGCTCTTTCTTAGACCAACCAGGTGTTTTAGACAGGCAAAGTAACACAGCTTTACAGAGTTAAACAAATGTAACATAAAAAATGCATTATATCTTTGCATCATTAAACAAATGTTCCACAGCATAAACAGATGTAACACATCTTTAACTAATATTCCATAGCATCTTTCTGTGATTTTTTTTCCTAACTCAATTATGCAATTCCCAAGTATAAACTATACACGACAACATAGGGTCTCTCAATGTCAAAACGTTACACACATACACACACACACACACACACACACACACACACACACACACAGAGCATACTTTGTAAGACATTTGGGAAAAACCTAAATGACACAATGCACAGTAACTTATGAACATTGGTCATTAGGTGTGCCCAGTATCTAACAAATACTGTTCAAAAGTGGAAATAGGAAGGCTTCCCATGTTATTCTCTCTAAAACACGTATGTAATACATGCACAAAGATGTATGAGTCTTAGTCACATATAAGAAGTGCAGACGGTCAGAGAATGCCACGCATCTTTCTTGGGTCTGTTTACTTATTTAACTTTTTCATTCTGCACTGATCCTGGCTGTGAGGATGGCGAATAAACCATCTCTTGCTTCAGTTACATCCCCTGGTTAAAAATGGACTCAACTTTCGAATGGCTTCCAAGCAGTAGTAAATAAATCAGTTCTAGCCTATTTGTGGCATGTTATTCCCTTGTGCAATTCTGTTTGGATCTCCAAGGCTCTGCCCACTGGCTACACGTTCCCTGAAGAGTTCATCAGTGTCACACAAGTGCCTGGATCTCTGCTCAAATGTCCCTGACTCATGGTGCAATTCCTCAGAATGGGCTCAGAAATGGACGAGGCAAACGTTTCTCTAAGACCCAACACCCAGTCTGCCTTTCCTTCACTAAATCCAACTCAGCTACAAGGGGGCACACTCATCTTTTTACCTTAATTGTTTTATAAACAAGTTAACTTTTTAAAAATTAAGTTGGAGCTGGAGGGATGGCTCAATGATAAAGAGAATTTAT